TTACAATGAGAAGATTAGAGATGTAACAAGAGAGTAACAAATAAACATTAAAAAAAGAAGAAGGGGAGAAAAGGACGATAGATGTTCGGAAGGATAGAAGAAGCTAATCACATAATAGCAACCGCCAATCATCTACATAGAGTTTCAGAGGGTAAGAGAAAGAATGGGAGGTGGACACGGAGTGAGAGAGAGAGAGAGAGAGAGACACAGAGAGAGAGAGAGAGAGAGATAGAGAGAGACACAAGCAACAGACAGAGAGGTGGGGGGGGGGGAGACTGACAGAGAGAGATGTGGAAGAGATTATGAATGTGAAACTGGAGAGAAGACAGTGGTGTAACAAATGTTAAAAATTAAGAGTACATTGGGGAGAAAAGAGAGACAGAGTGGAATGGAGTGGCACGAGGGTTCTAGATAGAGAGATACATTTGAAATAAACAGAGAAAGGGAGAGGAGCCACCCAGAGGAAGGGACAGAGAGAGAAGAGAGGGGGGAGGGAGAAGGGAGAGAGAGAGAGAGGCAGACAGACAAAGAGAGTGAGTGAGAGAGAAAGAGAGAGAGAGAGAGAGACTCCTTCCACATAGAGGTGTAAGAAATACACAAGTTATTCGTGTAATAAAATACGACACACGAATATCGTACACAGCTTTGGTGAAGGATAGAAATGGGGAAATTAAGAGATAAAAGGAAAGGAAGACAAATTGAGAGAGGAAGAAAGAGTCATTAAGACGGTTAACGCACCCAATTCGTTAATTATCCTTCTAAAGCCAAGCATGCAAGCATTGATGAGTTCACATCAAAATGTGTGAGCTTTATGTTTACCATAACCAATATCCCTGACAGATCTGTGGGTGGTACGAATAGATCTGGACAACTGTCTGCAGCCTGGCGAGGAACTTGGAAAGGAGACATGGTGGCCCTTGGGTTGTTTGCCATAGCGTATGTTGTTGTTCCAACGTCGTCTCGGTCTTCCGCTATTTCCAATGCCGGGTGGTGTCATGAGTTGTGGGTATTTCAAAATGTGTGATGTATTCGTTTATCTACTTGCTTGTGATGGGTGGGAAAAATAGAACAGAAACAACAACAAAACAAAAGGTACGAGTGGGAGATGAAAAGACCTAAAGACTGAGGGAGAGAGAGAGAGAGAGAGAGAGAGAGAGAGAGAGAGAGAGAGAGAGAGAGAGAGAGAGAGAGAATGAGAGAGAGAGAGAGAGAGAGAGAGAGAGAGAGAGAGAGAATATGGGGAGAGAGATTAGAGAGAGAAAGAGAGACAGGTAACGAGGCTTGGTGGCCTGTGTGACCGAGAGAAAAATATGGCAGGGGGTGTATCACTATCAGAGAACTGTGTTCACTATGGAATACAGTGATAGAAAATTGACATAAAATAACTATTTATATATCAACTATCAAAGTTTCAGTCATATGAACAAAGAAATAATGGAACATGAACTCGTAAAAAGCCGTCTCAGACATAATCTAGTGACAAAATGTTCAATTTTACTTACCAGAGTAGTAGAACCTCGGTCAGCGAAGACTCCGGACTCTTGACTCGACTGAAGCTTGTAAACGACAGGAAAAAACAGCAAAGCAACACTGGTGTGAACTGTACCTCAAAGCAACACTTGTGTAAACTTTCTATCGACTGTCACAGCGCAACTAGCCGTCAAACACCAAAAATGTCAGAGAGAACAAGCAAAATGTCCGCACACGACAAGATGGCGTCTATCAGAAATGGCGTGTCCGCGTCGTTCAGTTTTTACCCAGAAGCCTCGAGTGCAAAGGATCTTGGTCTAGCGTGTTGCTGTTTTAGAAGCACGACTGACAGTCTTGCTCAATGGCTCTGTTCTTGCTTATGTGTTTGTTAACTTTTGCCACCTTTAAGAGACTAAAATTCTCCCACCGACAAGTTTTTCCAAGCATGGCATAAAATAATGACAAACTCGTGGGCTAGATCTAGGTCGTCCAGTTTGGCAAGCACTGGTCTAACCGAAAGAAAAGCTAACAGACTGAGGGGCGAAAGTGTCATTCACATATCAACAAAATCGTATTAAGAACGGACAGTTTGATGGTTGATTGATGCGTATTAATGTAATTGACAATTAATAACTGGTTGTTTTGTTTTACGTTTGGGTTACTGATGCTCTTGTGGTTGTTGTTGTTTTTGGTGTTGTTGATATTTTGTTTCCAGAGGCGGGGGCGGAAATATAAATTTACATTTTCGGTTGGATGAGTTTCAGATCACTCAATAAACTGTTTGTTGTAGCTTTCCCTCTGTTGGGGACGTTTTAAATGCAAGGTGCATTTACG